CTCGATTTCCGCCTAAGATAAACTCGTAATAGTTCAAACATATGAAATCGACATCTTTATGTGGATTCGTAACAATTAGATAATATAAATAATAACAACACAAGATTGCATAATCTGTCTACTAGAATGTACATAACTAGTAATTTTGAAATTGATAATTCTTTTTATGGGAAGTAGTGAATAAGATAATCAAAATATTTTCGTCTGTTTAGTTGATGATTTTTTTTAGAGAGAAATGAAATGATGTGGGATACAACAATGGTAAAATATTTTTACATGGCTGTTTCGTCCTGGTATGGGACCTTCGGTCTTGCTTTTGAACACTTAACCTCTGGACCACTGGGCCGGCATCCAATGGTGTTAACTCTGATTGATCTAGAGGCTTTTTTCAGGTGCCGTGGATGCGTACTGCTGATAAGTCCCATACCAGGATGAAATGGCTGTCTTCCAATGCTTTCAGATTTCTAATGGTGTGATCTAACAATAATTGATTGATGATTTCAGATGTGTAAAAACGACTCTGATTGAAAAATTGTAAAATATTTATTTTTTGTACAAAGTTCCTGACTTATGAAAGCTTCTGTTGTTTTAAAGATTTCAAATCTTGGAAACTTGAGTAGATTTGAATGAATTCTGTGCAAACATATATATAAGCAGAGTAATCATAGATCACTGAAATAGTCCATAATATAAAATCGTAACTTCCTTTCTCTCAATACTATTAGAACAAACCCATTGCTCCAGAGGTTAGGCTGTAGTGCCTCCACATTTACTTGCATCCGCCTACATTTAATTTGCTCAAGCCCTTTCGATTAATTTCTTTAACTAAGCCATTCGCGTAGCAACAACTTATATGTAACATTGGATTTTATGATTGTATGGTTTGTATGAACTGGTATGACTGAGCATTGCTTAACGCCTACACGCATATGCATCCTATTCGCTTTAATATTAATCTCTTAAATACCACGATGACTCAGACATTTTCCTTTGTATATATACGAACATTTTAATCTTATTAATTCATTCGCCCCATTCGCAAATTCGCTCGCTAGTCTGTCTGTCCGGTCTGTCTGTGGTCTTCTATCCTTATTTGTGGTGTGCCACAATAAACGTATACGATACTTGGAATTCATCTTCTGATTTATTAACCGTCAGACGTCATTAAGTAACGATAGTCTGAATGAGCATATTACGAAACTTAAGAACACCTCGAAATTGGCACCCAACAAGGCGTTCGCGCTCAAGATCGAAGTTCCTGGGTTCAAATCCTGCGAGGTGCAGGAGTCGTGGGTGCGCACTGCTGATAAGCCCCATACCAGGACGCAAGGGCTGTCCAGTGCTTATAGCCTTCTAATGGTGGTCTAACAATTCTTGATTGATCATTTTAATGTGCAAAAAATCGCTAAAATATTCTAATGCGCTTCCAATTTTACATAAATTATTAGTTATTGCAAATGATTCCATTTTGTCTGTAAATGACACTGACACTCAAATTAAAGTTACCTTAATTTATGAATAGTCTGTATTTTACCGAAAAATATATTAAGTATTTACTACTGCACTAAATATTTGTAGTTTTAGTATGCCACAGATTGATTTAAGCCATCGCCACTGATGAGACTCCCCAGATAAGTGAAGTGGTCTACACGTTCGACTACTTCACTCTCTATCAATAGTTCAGGTGCCGATGAAACCCAACCTTGAGGCAGCATTTTGCATTTCGACGGATAAAACCGCATCCCGAACATGCTTACATTGTTGCTCAGGGTGGTCAGAAGACTCTGCATTTTGTCATCGTCTTCACCAAGTAGGACAATGTCGTCGGCATATTCTAAGTCAATAAGCGAGCCACCTGGTAAAAGGTCTACTCCTGAAAATTCAGACGAGGACAAGGTTATTTCTAGGAGCAAGTCAATGATAAAATTAAACAAGAGTGGAGAAAGTGGACATCCCTGACGGACACCACTTGAAGTAATCAATTCCGGTGACAGTTCGCCTTAAGCTCTCACTCGACCAGTGGTGTTCGAGTAGTGAGCTTGTATAAGGTTAATGTACTTCTTTGGTACACCTTTCAATGACAGGCACTGCCACAGAACCTCGCGATCAACAGAGTCAAATGCCGCTTTTAGGTCCAGGAAAACAAATATTGTAGGACGCCTAATTGTGTGTCTGTGTTCCAGGACCTGTCGTAGTGTGAAGATGTGGTGCTGTTGTTAGGAATCGGGTGCTAGGTAAGAATGGCAGATCAATAGGTGAAGTAATGAAACTTCATCAGTTGAGGTGGTTGGGACATGTGCTGCGTATGCCTAACCACCGACTGCCTCGAAGAGCTTTGTTTTGTAGTGTAGGAATAGGTTGGAAGAAAGTTAGGGGCGGCCAAACCAAAACATGGCATAAATCCATGAAGTCATTGACGAGTGGACTTAGCCATGTCGGTAATTGTCGACTACCTGGTTGGGGTCTGCGAGATGATAATAATCGATGGTTAAAGACCTTGAATGACATGGCTCAAAACCGTTTACAATGGTGCCAGTGCATTTATTGTTTGTGTTCTCTCAAGCCCTAATCTTCTGGATTCTTCAACAACTCTAGTTTTGACTTTCTAAACTTTTCTCATTGAATCATACTCTCCGATTACTTCTAATAACTTTACTACCTCTTCTACTATTGGATTTGGATTGACAATTACATCTCTGTGTGCTAATGTGGTATGGTAACATGAACTGATGTACTTACGTACGAAGTTCTACGTTGCATCTGACTCTCACTGACTCTGAGATTTTTTAGCAATGGCGTTTCCTTGCTTCCATCAAGCACCGAGTACATGACCTTCAAGACTTGAATTGTATATTATGCATTCAAACTAGCAAGTCGATATTGAGTAATTCACATATCTAACTTCAGTTGTTTTGAAATACATTCATTCTTATCGATGGTAATTGACATTATTAAATATGCGAAATAACTTGGTAGAATTTTAGAGAAATGAATACATTAGCATACTTGTAAAGGTTACTTCCTACGTATTTTTGAATACAATTTAGCAGGTTAATTCTCCTAGTATTATCACAAATTTACTCGAGAATGATTGACGAAATTAGAACACTAACTGTTGACATAGTTTGTATTGTTTCGAATTAATAGAACTCACAAGATACGATAGACGATCTCATCGAGAAGCGAGTGAGTGGATGAATGATAAGTGGCAACATGCATGTGTTTTTTGATGACTGATCAAAATGTCGATAAAATTATGGATTGTTGTCTATGTTTACAACCAATTAGAGAATTGAGGTGCAGATATGTGCTGGATGGGGTCGCTAAACCCTATGCCCGAAGCCTCCTCCTTTGTCCGGGACCGGCAGTAGCCCCAGAGGGTCTCCAGGCGGTGTTATCCTCTGTTATATATAGCGTCTAATGAATGACCGATTTTACATTGTGACTAAATTGAATTCTCGAACAGTACACTACACTGAGACTAGATCATGATAAACCAGACATGATTCAAGGCCAAAATAGAGAACTAGGAGATTTCACACAAGTACTTAAAATTTACAATCAATGAATCCGGAGTAGAAATCAATAAGAGGCACTGAAATCACATTTCAGTGTGACTGACTGGTAGTCAGTAGGCTATGCCTGTTTGTCCACGCTCGATGACTAATCACACTTTCGCCTCATCACCACACATCAAACTGAAGTGAGGTTGTGACCACTTACTAACTGTAGATGTTATTTCACTAAGTAGTCAGTGTCACAAAAAGTAATTTTCATCGTATTTAAACTAGAGACAGTCATATAAATATTTTGATCATCCATCATAACTCATGAACTAAACTTCGTTCTGATTAGGAAGAATTATTTTAGGTAATGTTTGACCTCTCACCATAGTTGAACGGCAAAGCTCATATTTTACATACAAGTTTTGATATGAACTATTTGATTTCTTTGCCTTCGTGTTATCGGTTTAGTTGCAATAGTCCTAATGAACTCAAAAGGCAGTTGAAGATTAGTAATATAATATGGATAGGAGTTTGTTCCAAAGTAATAAGGTTATTGGGACCATCTGTTGTAACATCACTAAGCCATTATTTAGATAGAGACATAACTTATCAAAAGTGTAACGAAATATGATGAAATTGATTGTTATAACAGCAATCTGTTTTATGGTTTATTCAAGGCTCGAGCTAGAGATGATGCTTACTAAAAATAGCTGTGATTGCGTTAGCTAACAGATCACGAAAGAGTGTAACTGTCGTGTGATAAGGACGTCTGACTGTACATTTTTATGGCAAATCAACGTTTAACTCCAGATAGTATTGTGGTGTGAGCTACTTATAAGTAGTATATGACGCGAGTAAAAAAACGTAATGTCTGGCAGCAGAAGATGGAGGAAGATCAAGAGAAAGGAAGAGTTAGAACACAATGGAATTTGTATGAAACGCATGAATAGTGAGTGACAATGGATTGTTGATGTTTTGCAACAGGAACAGTCCACAGTTCGATATGATGAACTGATATTTTGCAAATTAACTAACGATTTACGATATGGTTTTCCTATTTTATTGGCTGAGTAACTCTGTAATTTTCGTTAAATACAATTCGGTTGCCTTCACCTGTGTTCTCGTTCACTACAGTAAGACAGCTTAGAAATGACTTCTGTTGCCAGTTAGCCTAAATAAGGTAACTCCTAGTTCTTCTACAATTGAACGATAATAAGCCCAACTTCTGATGATATTTATCTTTAACGACTGAACTCAGTGTGGTTGAGTCAGTTTAAACAAATCTTTTAACTGTAGAGTTAGTCAAATATCAAATAAGTCACATAAAAGTATTTTGTTCAGTGTCTGATCGGCATTTCTATGTATTATTCAACCTTTGAAAGGAGAATAATTTTCGAGTATTATAATTTTAATGCTATCGCTTACATCTTTTCTGAAAAATCATCTTAAAAACCAAAAAAGTATACTAATTTATCACAATTTACTATTGTTCAGATATAACACGTAATAGTAGCTTATCAGACAATGAACCACAATTTCAAACAACTGATCATTATTCACAACAATCACAATATCTTCCTCCCTATCAAGATCTTCGTGGACCAACTAGACCAATACGATCACGTTTTATGGATACACGACGACATGGTTCATATGATCCTCAGATGAATAATGCTAATTATTTAGTAGCGCGTCATGATCCTGACTATGCACGTCCTATGGCACCAACAGATTCCTATACATCTGGACCACCAAAAAGACCATTTGGTTTTAATATGGTTTCGCAAGCATCCGGTCCTATAGCTCAACATGATTATAGACCTGCACTGAATCAAGTCAATGTTAAAAATTATAGATCAGGTGATCAAGGAAGTCAAGCAGTTGCGCCACAACAACAATTATCAGCTCAATATTCACGTTCCAGTAAATCGTTTATACAAAATGAACAACAATTTAACAGAAATCAACGAAGTAAGAATTGCTTTAGTACACAAATTGTGTAATGAATGATATAACACATTTGTACTTGACAGTTTTAGAATATTTGGTCAATATTTTTTAACAAGTGAACTTTTGAACATTTTCTTCTGGTATTTATTGTGATTAAAATTGACTTTTGTTAAGTCATTCACTAAAAAACAATTTCCCATACTGTTAGGATTTTCATTCAATATCCTAAGAGAATTATTGGTCAATTCCTATTGGTTAATTCCTATTGGTCAATTTTATGGTCGTCCTAGATATCAATGTCACGTACTTCAATGTTGTTTCTTATTGGTTAACCTGACTATCAATGTCACTTCAAATATTACTTCTTATTGGTTGTCTTAACTGTCAATGTCACAGACTTCGATGCTGTTTCCTATTCGACCAAAATGTATAAATACGCATTATGTGTAACGTTTTATGACCAGGACCAGGACCAGGACCCGGATCCTTAGTCTTGGATCCTGTTTCTCTTCTGGATTCGGACCTCGTACTTCCTTGATGCTTTTAGAATACAAGTTCTACTTCACATTGAAGTCTTCTTATTTTTACTCAATATCGGGGGTGGGGGTTTGGGATAATCAGATTTGAGTAGCATGTCGTGTCACTGGATCCTCGATCCTCACTCTTGTTTTCCGACTAGGTAAACTCGTAATAGTTCAAATATATCAAGTTGACGTGTTTACGTGCAGGCGTAACACATACATTCAAAATATGTTTCTTCTCTAGGGACACTGAAATAGTTAGTTATACTGTTGATATATATATATATATATATGATTAGTCGTCGAAACCCAAAATCACTTTACTCAGAATCTAAATGAACAACTACTAGAGAACCAGAAAGTATGGTGCAGTTTTGCTCTCTGCACTGGAAGGTATAGTCCTGGAGCTTTCGTTGTTCTTCTGGTGATATACTCTCATCAACTGATATACTTAAAACTATTACGAGTTCACCTTATTCGGTAAACGGAGCGAAGACAAATGATGCAGTGACACGATAGGCTATTCTTTGTTCAATGTTATAACGAATTCAATTATCAAGGCTTACAATTATTCTCAGCGTTAAGGAAAAAACTGTACAGACATTCGTTAACAGACAATGCAGGGTTTGAAGTTGTATACATTTAATGGTTGCTGTTTACTAAATACTTCAAAATGAGAATTAAATTTCTATCTAAAGTTATGTAGTGGTTTACAGAGACTTTTGGTTTATTGGTGACTCCTTAAAATCTTGAATCAATTCAACTTAGAAAATTCTTAAAAACCTGGAAGCACTAGTATGGGACTTCTCAGCAGCGCTCATCAACAATCCTACATGTGGGAATCGAACTCAGGACCATTAGTCTCGGTAGCAAAAACTTAACTTTTGGATCACTGAGTCGGTATCCGATACTGTAATTATCCAGTTAGAATCAATTCACGATATTGAACTCCAGTTGAACTCCAATAGCCAAATCTTATTAGGACTCCGAAAATTTCCTCTTGTTGCAAATAAAAATTAACATTCAATGTGTTATATGCCTGCACGTAAACACGTCAACTTGATATACTTGAACTATTACGAGTTTACCTAGTCGGAAAAACGAGAACGAGGATCGAGGATCCGGTGACACGACACGCTACTCAAATCCGAATATCTCAGCACTCATGTTGAGTAAAAATAAGAAGACATGATAAGAAGTAGAACGTGCATTCTAAAAGCATCCAGAAAGTACGAGGTTCGAGTCCAGAAAAGGATCAGGATCCCGGACTAGGGATCCGGGACCGGGTCCTGTTCCTGGTCCTGGTCATAATACGTTTCAGATAATGCGTATTTATACATTTTGGTGGAATAAGAAACAGCATCGAATTTTGTGACATTGACAGTTAAGACAACCAATAAGAAGTAACATTTGAAGTAACATTGATAGTCAGGACAACAACCAATAAGAAACAACATTGAAGTATTTGACTTTGAAAGTTATAACGACCATAATTTTGACCAATAGAAATCGACCAATAGGATTTGACCAATAATAATTCTCTTAGGATATTGGATGAATATCCTAACACAATGACAGTGAAAATTACTGAATCTCATTGAAAATTTTAATTAATATCACTTAGATGACACTTGAACACTGAAGGTCCTGGATGCGCACCGCTGGGTCCTCTACTAAGATGAAAAGGCTGTCCAGATTTTTTAAGCTCCCAATGGTTGTCTAACATAGATCTGTTTAGGATTTCACTAAAATCCGATTATCTATATTAACCCTTTGTTGACAATGCAAATTTATCATGAATATTCCATTTTATTTTTCACTCAACACCATTTAGATATCACTGATGATTATTCAAATCGTGGTGAATCGAAACCAATTCATGTGGTAGTCGCCTTGTATGATTATGATCCAACAACTATGTCACCAAATATTGATGGTGCACAAGAAGAATTACCATTTCGTGAAGGACAACTAATTAAAGTAAATTGATTGAATAAATGAATGATCTGTTTTCTTTCTTAATGATCGTTGCCTATAATTGATTAGTTTTTTCGAGTGAAAAAAGAGTCCCAAAGTGGGGTTATTTTCTGTGTTCTTTGATCGAAATCAGACCGCGATCACATTTTTAACTTCATTCATGAAAGAAGCTTGAATTTGTGTAAGATATTGAATTTACACATTTTTTGAAACCATGAATCGATCAATGTTAGACCACTCCATTAGATACCTGGAAGCACTGGAAATACGTTTCGTCCTGGTATAGGACTCATCAGCAGTGCGCATCCACGACTCCTGCACCCTGCAGGATTGGAACACAGGACATTCGCTATTGTGCGCGAACTCCTAACTACTGGATCACTGAGCGGGTGGCATCTAACGGTGTTAATGTTTAACATGATCAATTCACGGAGTTGCGCAACCTCTGGTCCGATGGTTAGGCGTTCGCGCACAATACAGTAGGTCCTGGGTTCGATTCCTGCGGGGTGCAGGAGTCGTGGATGCGCACTGCTGACGAGTCCCATATCAGGACGAAACGGCCGTCTTCTGCAGTGCTTCCGTGTTTCTAATGGTAGTCTAACATTAATCGATTTATGGTTTCGAAAATGTGTAACTTAACAATCTTCACAACCCCGTAATACAGATATTTAATTGCTGATAGACAAATAGTAATGTTTACAGGTCATAAATACTGATTTTGTATATCTTTCATTCCATGGACTCGGTGATGGGTAGTCTGTTCACTCTGTTGGTTATGAGTGATGCTATGAAATGAATCTTCCCTTCAATTTTACAGTTTATCATTCTTAGGCAAGCCCCATTTGTGCAATGGCGATAATAAGAAGCCGGTTGAATGAGTTTATTCCATGCAATCATTCACGCAAAAAGACATGAGAAGGAGAGCGAGCTAACTCGTTGCGATAAGGTGTGACCAAGTATTTATAGTTAGTGAAAAAATAGGCTAGTGTTATGATCGTCTCTAGGTATGTTTGAAACTATTTCGGGTTCACCTTACTCGATAAACGAGAACAAGACAATGAACCAACGTCCAGGTAGGCTACTCTGTTTAGTTGACTTAAAACAGCTAACGAGAAGTCTTGATATAGCGTAGAAAGTGTGTTCTACAAACACCCAGCAATCACAATGCATCAAGCACAGAAATCACGTTTATTTATACATCATAGAAACATCCTTGTGAGAGTCACGAAAGTAGCACACTAAAATATACGGCAACTAATCACAGCCAAGGAGTTTCCTGGTGAGAAATGGAATCTCAAGGTCAGCTGATCAGCCCATGCTCACGCAAACGTGAAATGCAAAATAAGGCATTTATCAAGCGAGTTCTGGGGATTTAACGTCCCCAACAGCTAGCCATGTAATGACCAAAGTGGGCGTGAACATGAACCGAGTTGTAAGCGAATAATTATTAAGATCGAAAGACATGTGAATAACTTGAGAAGAACGAATGACTTGACATGTCAAGTCCACACTTACAGGCTTAATGGATATATTATATAATCACTTGATAGAGGTAGTGTTAATTTACTAAAAGATATAAATACATTAATACCGATAAGTCGAGTGTATTCCCTACATTCATTCAAAGCAAAGAATGAAACAATTTTCAATGAGGAAATATTCAGTTTCTTCAACCGGATTTTATAAGAATATTAGGGGGTGTAGGACACTACTTACAACATAGTTTCTAAGTAGTATGCAGCGTAGTGTTGCCCAAAAGTTACTAATGCAGAGAGAAGAGTGTATGAAACAGTTCGAATAAAAGTCTAAAGATAAGATGTACACATTTCGTTAGCAGCCTGGTTTTGTAAGTGGAGATACTAAGGATGGCAGATCAATAGATGAAGTAGTGACACTTCATCAGTTGAGGTGGTTGGGACATGTGTTACGTATGGCTAACCACCGACTGCCGCGACGAGCTTTGTTTTGTAATGTAGGAATAGGTTGGAAGAAAGCTAGGGGCGGCCAAACCAAAACATACCACAAATCCATGAAGTCATTGACAAGTGGACTGAGTCATGTTGGTAGATGTAGACTACCTGGTTGGGGTCCGCAAGATGATAATAATCGATGGTTAGATACCCTGAATGACATGGCTCAAAATCGTTCGCAATGGCGCCGGTGCATTTATTCTTTGTGTTCTCTCAAATCCTAATCTTCTGGATTCTTCAACACCTCTCGTTTTGACGTTTTTTACGTGAATGATATTGATTCTATAGAATAGAGATGTTTGCTAACCCGTATAACTTTATTTTAATTGTGAATACTGAATCGTCAAGTATAAAAGGATGTGCGTTTTGATCAATAAACTTTTCTGTCTTGGTTCAATTCAATTCAATTCAATTACGCCTGTTATCCCCAATGGAGCGAATAAGCCGCCCACCAGTTTTCTCCAACCAACTCTTCTATCCTGGGCTTCCCTTTCCAGTTCTATCCAGTGTTTGTTCATTCTTCTCATATCTTTCTCTATTTCTCGGCGTAATGTATTCTTTGGCCTTCCTCTTTTTTTGCCTTTGACCTTGAGGGTTCCATGTGAGGGCTTGCCTTGTGACGCGCTGTTTGGTGCTTTTCGTAGTGTGTGTCCGATACACTTCCAGCACTTCTTCCTGATTTCCTCCTCCACTGGAATCTGGTTTGTTCTCTCCCACAGTAGATTGTTACTGATATAATGTCTGACCAACGAATCTGAAGTATTTTGCGTAGACAACTACTGGTAATGTTTATTTTTAAGTTACTTTATTTCAACTTTATTTTGGAGACTGTTCGACAATTATATTCATCAATGTCGCTTGTTTGTTAAATCTTAGAGTGGTGACTTCATATGTCGATTCGTTGTTTTACTGTGATTAAGTATAACAAGTAGAAGAGAATTCCAGGAGAATTTCATCACGGAAATCATGAAATGATTTAAGCTAAAAACCATCATTAAAAATCTACACGCATTGAACAAGAGTTTTGTTCTACCATGAGACTCTCACCCCCCCCACTATCAGTGCGCGTTTGTCAACTCATTAAGATCAGTTCGTAATTTTAACTGCAAAAAATTAAACAATCCCCACCAATCCACCTAGTAGCGAGCTTCAAGATGTAACTCATGAAGTTCTAGTAGAGTTCAACACCCATTCAATAGTCAATAGTCAATGAACACGTTTCAATAATATATTTTGCTTGAATACATCATTACTTACTTACTTACTTAAGCCTGTTAACCCCAGTGGAGCATAGGCCGCCCACCAGTTTTCTCCAACCAACTCTGTCTGTCCTGGGCTTCCCTTTCCAGTTCTGTCCAATTTTTGTTCATTCCTCTCATATCTTTCTCTATTTCTCGGCGTAATGTATTCCTTGGCCTTCCTATCCGCCTTTTGCCTTGAGGGTTCCATGTGAGGGCTTGTTTCGTGATGCAGCTAGGTGCTTTTCATAGTGTGTGTCCTATCCACTTCCACCGTTTCTTCCTGATTTCCTCCTCCACTGGAATCTGGTTTGTTCTCTCCCACAGTAGGTTGTTGCTGATGGTGTCTGGCCAACGGGTTCGAAGTATTTTGCGTAGATAACTGTTCATAAACACTTGTATCTTGTGGATGATGGCTTTGGTAGTTCTCCAAGTTTCCACTCCATACAGTGGATTTGTCTTGACATTTGTTTTGAAAATCTTGATTTTTGTTTTGATTGAAAGTTGTTTGGAGTCCTATATATTTTTCACCTGTAGAAATGCAGCCCTTGCTTTGCCAATCCGAGTCTTCACATCTGCATCGGATCCACCTTTCTCGTTGATGATGCTGCCCAGATGTGTAAAGGTGTTAATGTCCTCCAAGGCATCTCGATCAAGAGTGATTTGGTTGGTGCATGTTGTGTTGCATCGGAGAATTTCGCCTTTTCCTTTTATGTATGTTGAGACCTACTGCTGCAGAGACTGCTGCTACACTGGTCGTCTTCTCTTGCATTCGTTGTTGCGTGTGAGATAGAATACATCATAAGTTGTCAATAATATTGATTACTCTATATATTCAATTAATTTATTTTTTTTCTAAAGATTTTAACAGAATGTGATGAAGATGGATTTTATCTTGGTGAATGTAATGGTCTACGTGGTTTAGTCCCGTCGAATATGGTTACTGAATTACAACAACCACAGTCATTGAAATCACAAAAAAACCTCAATCATCAACCAATCGAATCTCGTTCAAATCTAATCGATATGAATCATCATCATCAACATCATCATCTACCTCCAGATCAAGTTAGTAAAACTCGTCCAATCGATATGAATGCACATGGTGGTCAAATGAATTCACCTATTCAAAATTATCCTTATAATACAGCAAGAAAACATGATCAATTTACTACACAATCTCATCATTCTACACCTCGAAATGTAAGTTGAAATCAAAAAAAAAAAATGTTTATACTTTTATGCTAAAATCATTGTTAGACCACCATCAGAAACTTGGAAGTAATGGACGGCCATTTTATCCTGGTGTAGGAGTCATCAGCAGTGCGCACCCAAGACTCCTGCTAAACTCTCATGATCCGAAACCAAGTACCCTTGGTCTTGGGCGCGAACGCTTAACCTCTGGACTATTGAGCCGTTGGCAGCCCCACTGGTGTTAATGTCAAACTCTAATCAATCTAAGCATTTTGCGCTACTTCGCCCATTCTCTTCGGTAGTTTTTGTTAAGATATTCATCCAATATCCTAAGAGAATTATAGGTCAATTCTTATTGGTTAATTTCTACTGGTCAATTTTATGGTCGTCCTAGATATCAATGTCACGTGCTCTAATGTCATTTCTCATTGGTTGTCCTGACTGTCAATGTCACAGACTTCGATGCTGTTTCCTATTCGACCTAAATGTATAAATACGCATTATATGTAACGTTTTATGACCAGGACCCGGATCCCTAGTCCTGGATCATGATTCTCTTCTGGATTCGGACCTCATACTTTCTGGATGCTTGTAGAATACAGGTTCTACTTCATATCAAGTTTTCTTATTTTCGCTAAATATGATGGTTGGAATAATCGGATTTGAGTAGCATGTCGTGTCACCAGATCCTCGATCCTCTCTCTCGTTTTCCGACTAAGGTGAAACTCGTAATAGTTCAAGTATATCAAGTTGACGTGTTTACGTGCAGGCGTAACAGTTTTTTGCCTATAGCCGACAGGGTTGAACTTCATTGGTCACATCTTCTTGTTAAACTCATAATTTGAAAACGTTAATGCTCAAAATATTAATTGACATCATGACATAATCATGTTCATTTTCCCTATGGAAAAAATTACATTCAACTATACAATACACCTCCGCATTACATGAACGGAAAAAAAAACAGTTGGAACATTCTAGATATATTGGTCATTGAAAACATTGTACATCGTAACTATTGTTGTGAATTTTTCCCATACACCTATGAACAATGATTTATTCTCTAATAATCGATATTAGTCTATACAAATTTTTTTCAACTCTCCAATCACAGAATACTCAATAATAGACCAAGCAGCCTAGTACTAAACTCGCAAATCACGTGATTCTATTGTCATCATAACGTGTAAGACTTACAATGTTTTAACAGAACAGTGTTCAGTTAAAAACTATTTACATGATAAGAATACTAACGTGAATAACACAGATTTATAAGTTAATTAATAATTAACTTGTGACTACATGAAAACTGGTGGGCGGCCTATGCTCCATTGGGGGTAACAGGCGTAAGTAAGTAAGTAAGTAAGTACATGAATCACAAATACAAAATTTAAAATTTCGATAGAATAATAAGAATATGAATTATTTACATGATAAATAAAGATAAATTACATACAAGTTGAACTTCTTTTCAAAACAAAAAAACTGTTGGTTACCTAGATTTCATGCTGCTTACTTTTACTGTACTAATTAATGCCTGTTGTTATCCTTA